CCGCTTTCAGAGGTACTGATCCCAACACTTTAACTGCTTTTAGTTGTACTCCATTTCTATTCCCAAGGACATCTGACAACAACATATCACCGATCATAGTGCGTGGTGGGTGCTGCAACTAGCAGTCATTAACGAATTTGAACATGTCCACTTGGACGCTAACAAAGTGGGCGTCTCACGTGTCACATGTTTTGGCATCTCGGCCTGGCTGCGATGGGCTCAGCATATGTTCTGCCAGCTCGTGCTATGTACAATGTACAACCAGAGTTTCCGCCGAGTGCTCAATGCTCACTTTTACAGCTTGATGCTGATGATGTTCTTTGCAATGGCGATGCCTTTGTGCTGCTCACCGGCCTGTTTCATGAATCAGTGTCTGTTTTCTGCATTTGTGTCCGAGCATCATAGGAAAGGAAGGCATGGCCAAGGGCCTTCAGAAGGCTCTGTTTCAAGAGCAGGTCAATGGCAGCCTGCTTCACCTTCTACACTATTCAAGATGCTGACACATGTGCCTTAATGCTTGGCAAGCCTTGCCTCTTTTTCTGATATGCTTTTTTCCACATCAATGCTTCCAACGGCCTGAAGATTCAAGCGTGGTGCCAATGACACGGATGGTCTGCAGTTGTCTTAGGAAATGTTGCATACTATACTGAGCTCGCGCGAGAAACAATCATCGCGCAAGGGACAAAGGTTACAGCCGACACTAGGCACATCGTTATCCGCACACATCTTCACATCGCTGCGCAGCATTGGTGATTTTCTAGGGTCGAGACTGATATGAAAGCGTAGCATGCCGACAACGCAGAACTTCAGCATTTCCCGTGCGAGTATCATGAATGGCCACACATCTGCACAAATCGATTCGACCACATAAGCACTTACCATGACTCGCCTTTGTGTTCATGCCACGAACCACACTGACCAAATACGTCCTGTTTGTAGCCTCCCGACAGAATTGCAGGCGTCTGCATGCTGCCGGGACCATAGCTCTGTGCAGCCGCCTTCGCCAGCACCTTCGATCCCTTCGTGGACTTCTTCTCCTCAGCTCCCCCGGACCAAACGGGCAGTCTTGCAGAGTCTTTCATACCTTTCGAAAGCAATGTGAAGTCATGTGCAACGCAGCCACGCGTCCTCTATCTTTGACCGAAGCCAACCGTTGAGCTCCACCGCTGCTTCATGCGTCAACACGCTGTAGCCCTGCTGCGAAGGCAAGCGGCAAGATGCGGCAAGCTGCGGCAAGCATGTTTCATCTTATGCTCGCAACATCCGGCCTTGCTGGCCCACGCTTTGGCTCCTTCCGAGCGATCAGGCGAAGGAGGCCTGACATGCACCCACCAGCTGACAGCTTAGCCTCAGCTAAGCTCATCCTGGACTCTTGGTGACCCTTGAGCCTTTCTGGCTCAGCGTCTGACAGTCGCTCGCTTAGCCTCAACCTTCGCCATGCTGGAGAAGTGCTAGCACGAACAAGTCACCATGCTGCCTCCGTTGTCTTTCCACTAGTGGAAGCATTGAGGCCGTGAAGCTCTCCTAGAAGGATCTAGAAGGATGTTCTGGAAGAGCTTCAAGGATGAGTTGCCAGCCAAGGGGCTGATTCCCACGAGTAGCGCACTATACGGAATTGGATCGCCTTTCAACCCAGCCAACAACTCGCTCGCACTTTGTGACTTATCATTGTGGCGCGCCTGGCCAACCTCCACAGTTGGCTTAATTTCGCTGAGAACGCCCTTGTCCTTCGGGATATTGCAGGCTTTGGCAGCATGTTGCGAAACTGGGGTGGGGATGCAGGGAGCCGCGCACAAGCTTCAAACATATTGAAGCTTGTAAAGCCACAGACTAGCATGCCAGCAAGTGGATTCTGTCACTTCTTGGTAAAATTTGCAAACGCCTGCGTTACCAAACTGCCGTGCCCTGCTAGCCACCAGCCAGGTGGACCCAGATTGAGGCTAATTAGTAAGCTAGCATTCAGATCACCGCGCCAACTTTCTCAGCGCTGCACCCACCTGAAAGCTTACCCCAGGAGCTGGCGTCACTGCGGAATCTGAGGAGGTGCTTCACCGAGCAGCTTTACGGCGAGCAAAATCTTGAGCGTAATGCCTTGTACGTGTCACTGCCGCTCTTCACAGTTTGCATGAACATTGCCCAAAAGTTTGGAACCCAACCCAGCAGGACGAGTTGAAACATGGACTGCCAAGCTCTGTACATGCAAGCAAGCTGAAGCCTGGCCCAATGAGACCAACGAAAGTCAGCTAACTACGATACGAACATGTGACAGTTGGCCACGAAGAGGCTTCGGAATGTTCTACCTGCGACGCTTCACATAGTCACTCCGCGGACGGTCCCTCTTGGAAGTTTGACCCGGGGACGTCCACACGCTAGGTACAGGACTTGCAAAAAGCTTCTCTTCTTCAAAACCAGAGAGAAAAAGCAGCAAGGACAAGCTTTTGGTACATCTGCCACTTAGACTATGGTTGTCCGCAGCATCTCTTCATGCTTCTGTGGCTCTGCAGAGTCACAGCATTTTCCATGACGTGCCAACCAGTATAACCAATGACATCCGATCACCCTGATACCTAAACGAAACTGCTCGGCCTGCAACTCAACAACCATGCTCCTACAAGGGCAGCAACAGTACTCTCTCACCGCTACATCAATGACATCGGCCCCGCTTCCTAGCTTATGCTTGCACGCTTTCTTAGAACACTGCGAGCTTCGAATCCCAAATCCATTTTTGCGAAGATCGGCCAGCCAACATTCGTGGACAAGTCAAAAGCCTACAACCGGATCATTTGGGCTGGCACGGCCATCTTGAGTCCAACTACATAGGACGTAGGATTTTTCGCGCCATGCAAGTTCCCTCGTCCTCCGTCATGTTCCCCCGCGGTTCGGATTTTAAGAACTTCTCCGGCATTTCCTTCAGAGGTATCCTTGCGTCCTGCATGTGGCATTCAGTGGAAATCTAAATAGGCCGCCCTGCAGGAACAACTTCCTGGCCATCAATAACACTGACGTACACACCATTCGGCTGCACCGCAGAGACGAAGCCGACCAACCACTTTGCAGGGTTGTAATTCTCACGCCTCGTCTCTCTTGAACACCGGACTTCTGATGCCGCTCATGGATCGAACGAACTTAGCCAGGGACAGTTGTTCAATCCTGTCTTCCATATGCCGACGTCTCTCTTCTATCTCCTGCGGCAAGCGCGACTGAGCAACCTTGACCCACCAAGATCTGCTAAGCCTCTTTGCATCTCAAGATCTCAAGAGAGCAGCTTGCGTTGTTCTTGGGTTGTCGAACCAGGTAAAAGTATTTTCTATATGTAACATACTAATACCCACAAGAAGGATATAATTTTACTCTATGTTCGGCAGCATAGTACCCCTAAATGAAATACTACTCAAGAGGATGTTGTCGCTCTTCTCAACAGAGTGCCGAAGTTAGTGGCTGGTCGGCTCGTGTGCCTATCATCGAGCACTGGCAGGCTCTACAAGTCGGGCGGCTGAACCCAAGCGGAGAATTTGGGTCTTGGGTAGATACTGTGCGTTGTTGGCACACTGTGAAATAGTGTGAACACCATGGTAGCTCCGAACGTCACTGCTCACGATTATCGGCGTCCTTGCACTGCATTGCCTCTTCGTTTGGGGTCAGCATGGAAACACGGCCGCTACCAATCTCGCGCACACGTACTCGACCACCTTTTGATGACTTTGTGACCTAAATGTCACAAACAAAAACAGCCAATTACCGCCCGAAAACCAGTCCCAGGGCGCCGACTGTGCTTCTAACACCATTGGTCGAAGCCTCTGCGCGTGGAGTGATATGCTCCACCGGAAGGAAGCCTTCACGACCGCCTGATGCTGCAGGTGCCGGAGTCGCACAAAAACCTGAAGGGCTCTGTCCTGGCAGCCGCAAAAAACACCCCAGCGGGCGGAAGCGCGTGGGCTTGGCGAGGAAGAAGTTGCCGTCCTGTGTCAGCCCACATAGGAACCATATTGAACATTTATATCATCTCCCTAGCCATTGTGCGGCCTGTTCCAACTTCACGTCTAGCTCAAGCCTCACAGTTGCAACCCCTGCGCAAGCTGCTATCGAATTACGCTTCGCTCTGACCGCATCTTCTGGCTCGGGCATATCGTCTTCCAAAGTTGGCGTCTGGGCAGTGCGGCCGCGGCCTTGCACTCAAACGATGAAGCCTCAAAATCCCTCAGACCATGTCCGGTGAGTTTTGGTTCCTTGCCTCCAGCTTGCCATCTGCGTCCGCTTCTGAGTCCGTCCTGGCCTACCTGGCGAGGCCTTCCTTGAGGCGGAGCCCCAGCGAAATAAATGCATCCATCACTGGCAGCCTGCATGGGACGCTTCAACTCCTATACAATCCCAGCCCCCAGCCAGAGCTTTGCTAGAAACATACATGTCGAGCTCTCTTTCCTGGCTGAACATTTTAGCGGCTCCCACTTCATAAATATCAAAGGTCTTTGACCAAGCTTGGATGTTGCATAGAAACACCGCGCATGGAGAAGCCCGCCTTTGGACGGCCAGCTCCCCATCCCCAGTCTTCTTCTGTGCTTTCTGTGAGAAGCCCAGATACATCATCTTTGCCGTCAAGATTTGTCGCCTCAACAGTGGTCTTTCCATATGTAACCGGACCAATCAGCTGGCTTGGTACGTTCACATTCTCCACCTCGTCCCCGTACACAGCATGTGCGCTTGGGAGCTGGGACTTTGCAGTCGGAAAAAAAGGCTCTTCTGCCTGACAGCCAGCAGATTCAATGCGAGGTTCGCTTCAGTTGTGCTGCATGGCACTGAAAATGTGGCGTGCAGGTGAACAGTCATTAAACACATGCAGAAAGTGTCTGCCTGCCTTGACCCTGGATCTCCACTTTTGCCGCTTTGGTTGTGGTTGAAAGCTCCGAGGGATTTGCAAGTGCTCTTCCGCCATGCAGGCAAAGTCTGCACTTGCTACGTTGTCGTTCGCTGCCGCTTCCTCATGCACCTTCGACTTGGTGAGATGGAAATGTGCCTGTGCTGCCGCCTGATCGCTGGGCAAGAATATTTTGTGAAGGCCAACTAGTGCAAGCCAACCCAAGGCAGCCAGAACTTGAATGTCGTGCTTGCGTTGCGGAAACTTGCAAGCATGCGTGCTTGAAGCTAGTAAATGAACGTCAGCAAAATCGTAAATCCAGAGGCGCGCTAAACTGAACTAAGTAAAGGTCTACGTTGGGGGCAGCAGTTCTTGCGGCTGTCTCGGCAGAACGCGGTTTCCAGCGGAAGACAGGAAGCCAGATTTAGCGCACCTGGTGGTTTGAAGCTGCTGGGACGCTGCAAAATTACGGTTCATGGCAGTGAAACCTGCCGACTTTCTGCTCTCAGCATCTCTCAAAACTCTTCTACCCGCAGTGGTTGCTTGAAAAAAGGGCGGGCTTCCCTTCCCTTCAATTTCGCAATTTGTGTAACTCAATGACTCTCATTATCTGGCCCCTGCCTTACTAACAGTTGTCTGGGACAAAAGATCAGTCCCCTTCTTGTTGTTCATCTGGGAGAAAGCTAGCTCTATTCCGTCACCATGAGCATGTAACATTGGGGCAAATTGGGGGCTATGAGGGTCCAAAGAGGGACTGGGCTCATGTGCAAGGCGGACCGAGAGACAAAGAGACAAACCCTCAGGGCTCGGCCTCATGGCATGAGGGGGCTTGTGCTTATCATCTCCCGCGGGCTATTCGCTCCCAAAAACCTTGCGGGCAATCACTGCATGCCACCCGGCGCGCATATGTTCTTGCAGTGAAACAACGAGGAAGACGGGGCCGACGTTGGTTGGGGTACTGGCGTGCGGCGACCTGCCCACGTCTGGCTCGCCCAGTGCGGCCTTCACGGGCCCGCTGCCCTGGACCTCGCTGTCACCTCGGGCCTCCGTGCAGGGGCCACTGTCGCACAGTCAGCCAGCTCCGGCTCTGCCGCCGTCGAGGCGTACAAGGCCCACAAGCGCATGCACACTGACCAGCACTGCATCGCTGAAGGCCTTCAGTTTGTGCCATTGCTAGCTGAAGCGTGCAGTGGGGGGTGGGGCCCAACGGCGGCCGCTACTTGGCGCGTGCTGGGTGGGCTAATCGCCGCTCGGTCCGGAGACAGCCCTTCCGTCGAGACTGACCGTCTCCTGCAGTGCCTCTCAGTTGCCTTGCATCGTGAAAATGCCCGAGCAGTCCTCCGCCGCCTGCCCGCGGAGGAGGTTTCGCCAGGCCCCTTCGCTGAGCCCTGAGCTTTCCTTCGCTGCTGTTCAGCCGGCCTTCGCTTGGGTCCGTCAAGCCACCGCTCGTTGTCTCCGCACTTGGGTTTAGGGTTTGGTGTTTTGGGTTTAGGGTTTGCCTGCGTGTCCTCTCGCTGTCATGCATCTCTCCTGTCGGCCTTCGCTTGGGTCAGTCAAGCCACTGCAGCCTCCTTTGCACAGTTACCGCCTGCCGTTTTTGCTCGGCCTTGTACTCCTTCGAGAAGCCGCGGCGTGATTCCACTGACCTCTCATCGTGATTTCTAACTGCTGCTCCCGATGGGCTGGCTGGTTGCTCACATCGAATTGTTGCAATGAAAATTCTGTTCGTAACATCTTCATAGCCATTTTATAGTCGTTTAAAAGTAAACTTCCTAGTCTCTCCTTCTGTCTCCCTTCTCCGTTTGGCAGGGGCTTACACCAGAAACAGTCCCAACAACAAACTCAAGCTCTACCCACTTACACTATAACGATGAAACATCCACCAGGACTGGGCTATGGCCGGACGATGGGCCCCCATGCGTGTAGGAAGCCTGAACGGAGTTGGCCGTTTCATGCTGCCATCCCTTAGAGTTGCAGTGAACAGCACATGACCAGGAGGAACACCAGCGCACAACTTTGGCAAGCTGCCACCATGACTGGATCAGAAGGAAATTGTCAGAGGAATGCGCACTGCCAGCGACAATGAATACAGTGATATGCAGCACAGGGGTGGTCAGCAAGCCAGGGGCAATGATGAACATGCCAAAGTCCAAAAAAGAGGCCTCGTGCAGTCCCTCGGTGCCGCGTCCTGTCGCATACTGCCCGCCTCCCCCCCCCACCTCGCACCTCACATGGCCGTCACTGCCATACCTGTTGACCACCATGCCCTGATCTTGCGTCCGTTGCCTTGAGAAACGATAACCTAGCATCCGGGATGCTTCCAAGCTGGATGCAGTGGCTTAGGCTTTTGAGGGAGGCAAGGCTTTCTTTGGTCGAGTTACATTGAGTTAACCAACCCAACCCCTCCGAAGCTGTCGAGGATGGGAGAGTGGCGGTATTTGGACCAAGCCCTGTTTGGGGTCGTGGGGACAGATGGAACCTCAAGCCGAACCAGATTGTTTGCTCAATGCTGGTCTGACATCGACCAAAAAATCCCTCACACTGCCTGTGGGCCTGGCAAAGTCACAGGGACAGGAACTGAGGTTGCCACTGCTGGAGACTGCTCAGATTTTTCGTCAGCGCACCTCGCAAGGACAAGGCTCCGAAAGCCAAAGTGCTGCAGGTGGCTACTCGCAAGTTGAAAACTCCAGCAGGACATCCCACGGCCCGGCTTCGTAAGGGAGAAAGCTTGCTGCCCAGTCTGCGCGCTCTCAGGCAGGATCGCATCACCCCATTCGCTGTCATCCGTCTCCACATTGGCATGTCTGATTGCGTTGTCCCGAGAAGTGGCTTCTTCTCGCACTGTCGGCACAGTTGAAGAGGACCTTTCATCGTGGCCTTCTTCAGCTAGCAAGATCTTGGCGACGACAGCACCACGATCTGCGAAACAGTCTTCAACATGCTCCTCTGCCTCTGGTTCCCTCAAGTCCGTCAGGCCAAGGTCCCCTGTCAGGTTTTGGTCTGATCTTTCGTGAATCCATCCCATCTTGTCTGCGTCCGTATCCACACCGCATGTGCTTGTCGGGGTGTGATGGTGGATTTTCTCCACATGGCCAGTAGTGCTGCCGACCATCGGTTCGGACATACACCTGGTTAGCAGTCAGCCACAGACAAGGCGGTATCTTTGCAGGCCGTCTGGGGATTTATCCGACACCGAATCAGGATGAAGCTAAGGCCTCCACTCGAAGCTGGTGGCTCTGGCGCTTGCGTGTCGGACTGGTCCGAACGCTTTACCAGTCGTCCATGCTGTTATGAGCGCCAGCTGCTCTGCGGCTCTTTGTATGCCTGACGTGACAGTCAGCAACCAAATCTCCTGCGACTGCGGGCAAGAACATGGGACTGGCCTGCTGTCTGTTGCCCAAAGTACACAACAAGAAGGATGCACATCACAGCGAACGTTGAGGAAACCACCTCAATTGGTGCTTTCTGCCAAAAGCCAGGAATGCAATCAAGAGTCTCCTTTTTTTCAGAACGCTGCTCTGAGATTTATATCTTTTCAGCTTTAGATGAGGGCCTGCCAGCATGTCATGATGCTGGATGTTCTCCATTCCAACCAAACCTCGGAGCTTTTACAACAGGCAGCAGTCCTTGACCGAAACAAGAGTGGGAGGAAGAAAGGCGGACATGACCGCGTGCTACGTGCCTCAATCTCCTCGAGCGATGCCTACGGTCCAGCGTAGCTGCTCGTACCAGCAAAGTATTGTAGTACGAGCACTTGCTGATTCCATTGGTATCCCTTAGTTGGAACCCCCACCCAGTAACAGTCACTATAAAGGATAATAATGATCTTATTTCGGATCCTCTTGTTTTCCTAGTATGCCACTATTACAGGGTCGGGGGTCCCCCCAACCTATCCCATTGGCAGACAAAACATTGCACAAAATAGTACACAAACATCTTGCCTCTGTCAAGCCCATTTGATGCCGAAGCTCAGCAGCAACTGGCAATACATCCCGAGACGTACCCTGGCAATGCAAAGTCACCGCCCCCATGATTCAACATGTAAATGGCGACAAGTGCACCAAAGGAAAGCGGCAACTGCTAGGGTGGAGGGAGCCTAGATCTATACACTCTAATTACAGACTCTACATTCCAGCAATCAAGCGAGGCAGCTGGGCAAGCAAATGTAAAGCTGCAGTCAGTGCCTTCTTGGCCTCCAACAACTGCCCCTGCCAAGGTGATGCAAAGAACTCAATGCGGCCTGAGGCGTCCTAAAGGCCTTTCGCATAAGCTGCATCGCGACTTGCAGCACCTGCAAGCCTTCCGGTATACTGCCTGCACTGCAAAGGACCAGTGGTGCACCCGTCAGAAACAGGAAGCAGCCCTGCCGACATGCCTGGCCGGTTCTCCTTAGCGTGCTCCTGCCCAATTTTAAGATCGAACAGGAGGTTCGATCCACCAAGTTGGCTGGGATCGTATAGATTGTGCTTGCCGACGGCGGCATCCAGTCTGCCATCCAACCAATGGGCTCGATGGTCTCTGGCGATGCCCGGCTCTAACCCAGAGCCGAGTGGTGGCTGCTGGGGCTGCTGGGGCCATTGCGGCACCCTCTCCTGTCCAAGGCCTGGAGCTGGACCCTGTCTCACCAGACCTCAATACCGTAGGCGTTGCAAGTTCACAAGAACCAGAGAAAACATCTAAGGATCTAAGGCAAAGACTTGCATCAAGCAGGCCAGATTGCCTGTGGGACAAGGCATCGTCGCTCAGCACCTTGTCTTCCTTTAGTGTCCTAACTGCCTGCCCGTACTCGTGTATGGTCCTGTGCCGCCAAACGGGCTCTGCCTGCAGAAGGTACGCTGCACCCGCTTGCAGAAGCAACAGGGGGCGTATTGCGCCATCAGAGTCTCCGGCGCTCCAGCGCAGAAGTGAAGTAAGACCAGTGGTTTCAAGCGTTGCATGCCCAAGCTTCGTGTCTGATGCTCATATGGCTCATCACTAGTCACCACGAACATGTTCAAATGCAAGCATGCTGAGCTGTGGCTTTGATAAGCTTCAGTGGTGCCTATCGCATCATTCCCTTGCAGCTGGCTGGCACCGATTCTGCAATTGTGAGACATGTTTGTGAAATGTTCCAGGTGAAACAACGTCCGAGTTTGCTCCAGTTCCTGCAAACATGCATCAAGCGTACATTCTGTCAGCTGGTTACAGTGACAGTCCTTGCCCATGGCTAGGCTAGGCAGCCGCCCGCCCCGCTGAGGTGGCAGAAGTTGGACTGAGGACGTTGGCATGCTTCAGTGACTCAGCATGTCTCAGCATGATTCAGCATCCACCCGCAACGGGAACCTGAGTGGGCCGGAGCCTCGGTCGGCCGCACGCCTCGCGAAGATGCACAAAGTGCCTGGCTGAAAAAGCTCGCCTTTGCCTCCCCTCTCGCCTCGACTCTTCCACAGGTGCGTCTGTGTGAGGCACCCCGGTTTTGCGGTCAATGTAGATGTCGAAAACCTGCTCTTCCCCACACAGATTTCAGCGCCCTTGACCACGCTCACTTTCGAAGAACATTGCAGCGCGCGATTCAGTCACGAAGCAGACCGATTGCAAAAGCGGTTAGCGCAACGTGAACTTCCCGAATGATTACCCAATCCGTTTGCATCTCCCAGATTCAATTGCTGGGGCTTGTGGCAACCACACTGGTTTTCTTCCAGGCTGGAACACAGCAAGAATGTAAGTGGCCAACTTGCAGGCGGGTTCCTATCATCAGCCGAAATAACCTGCCTTATGATCTCTGGCATGAGCTTCATCATCAGTAGTATCTTCCACAACCTTGCGTTCCTGTCGTAGTGGAGGAGACCGATACATGACCTGCTTGCCCGCCTTAGTCTTCCAGTGCTTGGTGGGCCCATCAAAAGTGGTTTGCAATGCCAGTAGCGCAAGAAGAAGGCCCAGGCTTTCTTGAAAACTGGCTTCTGTGATCTTTGCAAGGATTGCTTCAAACGGTCTTCCTGCTTCTCTGACTGTTCTTTTAAGCGATTCTCGCGTACCTCAGCTCATTAGTGCCAATAAAGCACACAAGCGCTGACTTGCTGGCGTCCAGGCCCTTTCTCGCCGATCGCCTTCCTTGATCTTCTCCAAGCGCATTACCAAATCCTCATCCTGTATGCGGGAGAGGCGCTACAACAGGAAGTCCAGCCCGAAGTGCTAGTGCGCAGCATGGTCCTGCTGGAAGGCCTCATCCAGGCCCTGAATGAGCTCCTCGATCCGCGACTCAATGGCGCCGAGCATTTGCAGAGTGTCTTGCTGCTGCTGGTCTCTTGCAAGATTGCATCTTGTGTAAACTTCATGTACCTTCCAGGGTCTTGCGATCATGTTGCAGGAGATTGGTACAGAAGTGATGCCTTCTTTGCTAAGCTGCTCAGCTTCTTGTCCTTACAAAATGCGCTTCACATTTTCCACCACAGTCGGCATTTTGCTAGCCAAATTGTTCAAAGGCGGTCCTGAGTTGCAGTGCTGGCTTTTTCCGCATGACTTTGCTTTATTTCTTCGCCCCTGCGTTGCTCCTCCGAGGAGATCTGACAGAAGGCATTTTGTCAACATACTTTCGGCCCCGGGTCCTGCTTGATGCTTTGCTCCAGCTGCGTGATTTGATCTTTCAACTGCTGCACCTGAGCAGGGGGGAAGGGAACAGCTGTGGCGTGGCCATCTCACCCTCACATTCGCGTCTCTCAGCAGGACAGCTTCAAAAAAGCGGGCTACGAAGAGCACAACAGCCGCACCCTTAGCACTCGATACGTTCTTTTGGATGCTGCAGTCCCAAGCTGGAATACTTTGCGGAGTATTTGTCAAGTTGGTTGTTTTAGGTGGACACGAGAACACATCAGAATGCACCACAGCAAGAGGCAAAAGCGGCCTTGTGTCCCATGTTCTTCTTCATAGCTTCAAAGCTGTTTCGAATCTCATCCAGCTGCTGCTCGGCTTCCTGCAACTACGCACTGGCAATGTTTCACAACTTGGCCTGGCCCGCACATCTTTTGCAAAAGTCCTGAGAGCTCTGGATCAGGAAAAGGTTCAACTCTTCTAAGTCCGTGAAGCTGTCCATCAGCTGCTGCGGTTCCTCAACAGCTGGCGGGCTACGGTCACTGCAGTCGAATTGGATGGTATGTGGCAACGAGGACTCAGGTTTGCAACTAACTTGCTAGAACGCCCAACATACAAAAGCGGCAAAAGAAAACCAGACCCAACGACAAGGGGCTTACTGTGGGTCTGCCTCATGTTAGCTGCCATTCCTTTTTGGATGCTTCTGGAATGCAACCCTAGTCACCTCGTCAGATGCATCCACAAGTACAGGACGGGCACAAACTGCTTGGCGGCATGCAGTCCCTTCATGCTTGGACAGCCGTGGACGGCAACCCGACCCCACGTTGCACCTCCGTTCTGTGACGAATAACCGTACTCTATCTTAACAGCTTTACATGCTCTATATCTACAAAACGACGAATTAGCGCAGTCTTAGCTCCTTCGCTGATAGGCATTGTTGAATGAGGGCCTGCAGGCGGGACAGCATGCTTGGACCCTGGCTTTCCGGATGGTACAAAAGGTTGAGGCCACTCTGATGCCATTATTCCATTAACGCTCCCCACAGCTAAGACTCTGTTCGAAAACATCTGCTCGAACACTGCTGCAATTGGCTCTGCACTCTGTGATGGCACGAGACACCGTATGACGGATGTTTGGCTTGTGTTGCTCCGTTATGCCGCCTTTTTGCTGGCCCATGTTAATGGGGGCATCTGTGCTTGTTGCCTCGGTATTGTGTGGCGAACTTAGATCGGATGTTCAAACACCTTCCCAGTCCCATAACTGCTCTTAATCAATCCCTTGCGCTTCTTGGCCCCCTGTGAACTTCTCGAGCAAGAAGTTGTTTTCATGGCAAGCCATCCGTTTGGCTGGGGTCAAGCCATGACAGCCATGCAGCAGCTGCCATTTCCATCTAGAGCACGGCAGCAGTATCAGCCAACTCGCGCGGCTCTTCAAGCAAGGAAGGCCGTGCTGCAGTCAGTATTGCTATAGTTGCCTCGTGGTTACCAAGGTGACAGAAAGCTTCAGGGTAGCCGGAAATGGAATTCACAGGCCCATCACGCACAGGTAGAGGCCTATTCAACAGGCAAACAAGGACGGTCTCCACTCACCCTGAAATATCTCTGAATTTGTGTTGCTGACGCTCTGTTTTCGGCAGCCTATCGTGTGCAGTTTTCAGATATACAACGATGCCTTTGGTTTCATTTACGGTCTCCCAATCAGACACCCGACAATACGAGCGCACGTCATTTCGTATCCCAAAAAGCATTTCGTACCCCAGCCGCAAGGCACAGCGGCTTATCCCATAGCGAAATTTTGTATCCCAAAACCGAATCCCCATGGCACAGTGTACGCAAATATGTGGGAAGGTG